GACCAACTCCTTCTCTCGTGCGATTCCCAGTTCCTCACTGGGTACCAATCCCCACATATTAGTGACCACCACAGCCGACTTGAGGGGATCGTCTCCACAGAGACTTTCAAAGATTCGCAGGTTGCGCTCTTGGATTCCTCCCATCCTCCTGTCTGCAATACTGTGGAAATACAGAATCCCGTCCAACAGTCTCTTCGTTTTGTATCTGATTTCTCATCAATATTTGAAATGACACTGAAACTACAAACTTACATGCTGGCCATATACTGCGCGATTTCTTCCAAGGTATCGAAATCTGGTGTTGTTGTGTCATCAAATCCGGGCGTGTCCAGCAAAATCACCTCTCTTCCATCAATGAAGAATGGTGCAGTAGGCGTGACTTTTGCTGTGCAGCTTCTTAGGCCATTGCCAACTGGCATGTTGGACCCACTGGCAAGATTGATAAACTAGCGGCGCTCTCTTTAGCTAAAGCTCGTAAAGGATGTGATATTTGACCCACAGTCGACTTGCCCGAACCTGTCGGCCCCATAACACTGAACCAAGTCAGGGATTTCTCGAGCATCATTTACGAATGTGGTTTACATACACTATCATTGAGGCATCTGCTGACATCCTGGGTCGTCGCGATGATATAAAGTGACGTTAACTGGCGAAGAGATGATAGATGTATTACCCACCTCTGGACGATGTCCTTTTGTACGATTACCTAGTTTACCATACCATAGCCAAACCATCAGTTCCTGAGCCTCGTTTAACAGTGTCGACTGCGCCCTAAGAGGTGGTCCTGAATGGGCGTGATTAGGTAGGTTTCGGTCAATGCATGCGTAGTACATGCGTAACCCGCTTGGATCCAAGACACGGATATACACAAATTGGTGACCGGTAGAGGCTCCACCGCAGTTAACCAATTCGGTCAGAGTTCGGTTAGGAAGATGGTTGCTTCTAATGAATAGACAAGCTGCTGTGTCCTGGTATGTTGGAATCCTCACCACCACCGAAAAGTCGAACACCGCCTTTGAATTAGATCTCTAGGCCGGATAAGGTACTCAGAAGGTACTTTGCTGGAACTCGTTATGAAATCAGACACTTGACCGGCTATCCATCCTAAGAATGTCGGCGCCGGCTGCTGGTTTTCGAGACCGGTAAGGAATAGTCAACCTCTCGTGTTTCGTGCTTTCAAGCCGTGATAATTAGAAGTAACTTGTGAAGTTAATAAGGCGGTAAAGTGCTTTGTATCAGTTGGGTCTGCCCAAACGCCTTTATTACTTTTCGTGGTTGTGTTCAAGGAGCGGGCGGTGACAGACAGCTCGCCACCCTTACAGTGTTTCGTAGTGATAGAGGGGAGCAACGAAGTAAGCTGGATTTAAGCTATATGCGGTAAATAACGT